GAACGGACGTTAAAAAGGGATTATTGTTGTTTTAGGGGGTGTTTGTTGTCTTTACACTCGACTATCGGGATGTCCGTACCGGTCGAAAACATGGGGGCCGGTTGATCGATCGCACGCCGGTTGTTTGAGATTTTTTAAATCAGGGAGGACGTTTATTTGCTCCCTGCGCCATCAGAATCCTTTGTGTTGGTCCAGTTATTTTTTTACTTCCCGCGCCACTGACGACGAAGTTTCATTTTGGCTCTTAACGTGACTGTTACTGTTGTTACACTTTACTTGCATTAGATCCAGACTAAGGAAGTCGCTAAGACCAGAATTTGTAGACGGTCAGACTTGAGTGTCCTCTCAAAGGAAATGCTCAACAACTAGCATAACCCAAAGGGTTTTATATAATATACACACTTTGGAAGCGTATTTTATGACGTAGTAGTGAACGAAAATATGATGTCAACCTAATATTCTCAAAATTATTATATCATTTATGCTCCTGAAAACAAAATATATCTGGCATTCTATTGCCAAAAGCCATCAAAACAAGCTTCAAAGTCAAAAATTAGCAGACTTCAACGAGGCAAGCCTATACACTTGTATATCGGTACACTTCACCGCAAGCAATGCATAATAATGGTTGATTTTTTGCTAGTATCTTTTTGGCAACACCGTTTTTGACAGATGACGCGTGAATCGTGTCTTGTGTCATTATCAAACTTGTTCAGTTTGGTCTATAATTTAACCATGAATCGACTTACGAACGAACAACGCTTGCAAATTATCGAATTTTACTATCAAAATTCATGCTCGGTGAAGAGAGTGCATCGAGCACTGCTTCCAATTTATGGGCAATTTGGTCGGCCTACTGAGGGAGCTATTCGGAAGCTTGTGACTAAATTTCGAACCCAGTTTACATTATAGGACATTAAACCACCAACACGGAGACGTAGAGTGAGGACTGAAGAAAATATTGCGGCTGTATCCGCCAGGATTTGGGTGTAAAACCTTATAAGATACAGCTGGTGCAAGAATTGAAGGCACACGATCTCCCACAACGTTTCCAATTTGGTGAATGGGCGCTGGCGAAGTTGGAGGAAGATCCACATTTTTATCGAAAAATTGTTTTCAGCGACGAAGCTCATTTCTGGTTGAATGGGTACGTTAACAACCAAAATTGCCGCATCTGGAGTGAAGACCAGCCAGAAGCATTGCAAGAGTTACCAGTGTATCCCGAAAAAAACACTGTTTGGTGTGGATTATGGGCCGGTGGCATCATCGGGCCGTACTGCTTTAAAGACGACAATGGCGGGAACGTAACTGTGAATGGCGAGCGCTACCGTGCGTTGATGCCAAACTTTTTTTTGCCCAAAATAGAAGAGCTGGACTTGGCTGACACGTGGTTTCAACAAGACGGTGCCACATGCCACACCGCCCACGAAACAGTGGCCCTATTGAGAGGCGAGTTCGGTGAACGGTTTATCTCACGCTTGGGGCCCGTCAATTGGCCGCCTAGATCGTGTGATTTAACGCCGTTGGACTATTTCTTGTGGGGCCATGTTAAGGCTAATGTCTACAGGGATAAACCAGCAACGATTGACGCACTGGAAGCCAATATTGAAGCATTTATTCGTGAGATACCGGCCGATATGTTGGAGAGAGTGTGCCAAAATTGGACCTAGCGCAAGGGTCATCTAAAGCTGAGCCGCGGCCAACATTTACATGAAATAATATTTAAACAATAAATTATATCGACCGTTCTACCGACTCAAATAAAGATTTAATCGTTTTTTCAAATTTTATGTCTTTTTTTTGAAAATCAAATCCTATACCTCTTAAAAAATCACCCGTTATATACACCGTTCCTTCCAAGGTGATATTGCAAGATACGACATGCTCAATTTTGCATTAGGCGACGTCGCTCTACTTTAACTCTTCCAAAGCATTTATATGGATTTATTTAACATTTTATGTGTGCGAAAGCTGTGAGCGTTATTAGTAATATATAAGCTACGTTTTACTTTAAAGTTTTGAGCTCCCTAAATGTTTCTCTGAGTGATAACAAAAGTTATCAGGAACTGGTAAGCACTTCTAAACGCAGCATAGCTCCAGCGTCACTGTGAAGACTTTTGAAGCCGTCCTTGACATAGTGATAACCTGAAGTCAAAACGTCAGCGTAATTCACCTGATACTTTCCCAGCTTTAGCGACAGACAGGTCGACGTAAGAGATTGATATGGTATCGTTGAGGCCGTTGACGAGCCTACTACGTCACTCTTTTCTACCCGATATTTGCCATAACAGACTAGGTTTTGTACTGTACTTACACAATATATCTGACAAGTTCACGAACTGAACTTCTGTATTCGATACAAGCAGCGTGACCTCTTGAACAATCCCGGAACTGTGTTGCGCGTTATCTGAAGTGTATGTGTGCCAAATTTCACCGCGATTGGTCACTTCAGTCTCGAGTAATCTGTGTCCTTGTGACCTTGTGCAAATCCGCGACATGGAACGAAGAAGTGCGATAAATTTTTGCGTTCGTCTTAACATTTTTTTTGAAAACAATTATAACGGCGACGAAAGCTGGTGTGTCATGTACGACCCTCAAACATAACGTCAATCCGCTGGTTGGTTGAGTCTAGGTGTGCAACGGCCATTTAAGGTCAGCCAACAAAAGTCGATAGTGAAAACAATGTTGATCGCATTTTTTTATTCAGATTCATCGCGAATTCGTTCCGACTGGGCAAACTGTAAATTCCACGTTCTATTTGGAGGTTATGAAACGCCTGATGCGTCTCATTCGTCGCATCCAGTCCGAATACCGGGATCCGGGCAGCTGGACTCTACGACCCTTTTGACGCGTTACTGCGTGACTAATCAAATCACGGTCTTATATCTTATTCACCTGTTCTGGCACCGGCTGACTATTTTTTGTGCCCCAAGCTCAAACTGAAGACGAAAGGACGATTTTTTGTGACATTTCGGTTATCCAGAAAGCTTGCACCGAGAAGCGATATCAGAAAATGAATTCTCGCACTCTATTGGCGCTGTAACGAATGTATGGCAGGTCAGCAAATCCAGCTTGAGCCGCGAGATGCGCAGAAAACAGAGTGCGCGGTGGATGTCTGAGATAAACGGTAATAGCCGACGGATATAGAAGTACAGTCGGCGCGGCAAGTTCAGTTACCGCGTGCCAATTTCTGTTATTTCATTTAATTTGATGAAAGGCTACCTGTTTTACGATTACAATTCGCCCTTCGTAGACAACCTCTTGACTTCGCTTACCAACTACACTGAGAGAAATTTATAAAACACATCTGAATTTGACATTTCACCTTACGGAAAAACTGCTGGGATACAATTCTTTCATTAAGGGATTCAGGAAAGTAAACGCATATTATAACAAGAAAGATTGATATTCAAATCAAGTTGGGTACTTAATTTTGAAGGTTCATTTTTACCATTTATGTATAAAAAGTAACATCGCTCAAATGTTCACCACGACTGGATTTACAGACGTCCACGCGATGGTCGAAATTTTCAATGACATTTTGCAACATGGTCGGTTCTATGGCATTTATCTCGGCAATGATGTTCTTTTTGAGTTCTTGGAGGGTGGCTGGTTTGTGGACGTGCTTTTCAAATATCCCCATAAAGAGTAGTCCAAGGGAGTCAAATCGCACGATCTTGGTGGCCATGGCACATTTCCTCTACGCGAAATCACGCGATCACCGAAGAAGGACTGCAATCGATGGATATTGACGTTGGATGTGTGGCATGTTGCACCGTCCTGTTGGAAATAAACATCGTCCATATCCATTCCTTCAAGTTGCGGCAAAAAATAGTCCTCTATCATCACGTGATATCGCTCAGAATTGACGGTAACGGCGTCCCCGGCCGCATTTTCGAAAAAGTAAGGTCCGATGATGCCTTTTGAGAATGCACACCACACAGTCACTTTTTGAGGATGCGTCGGCTGCTCTTGATACTCACGGGGATTTTCGTTCGCCCAGATGCGGCAGTTTTGCTTGTTTACCGTCCCATTCAAAGTGAAATGCTCTTCGTCGCTGAACATGATTTTTGATGAAAAATTGGCATCAATTTGGCGGTGTTCAAGGAGCCAATCTCAGAACGTTCGGCACGAAAAATGGTCGGCCCGACGCAGCTCTTGCGTCAATTGGATCTTGTAGGCGTGTACATTCAATCCTTGTGGAGAATGTGGAGCAAACTGGTTCTCGAAATGACCAATTCTTGGGATCGACGCGTTGTTGATTGTTTCGGATCGTCTCTCACACTCTCCTTCACAACAGCAATATTTTCCGGTGTGCGACCGCTCCTTGGCCGGCCAGAGCCTGGCAGATTTGCCACAGAATCTGTTGCCTCGAATTTACGCACCAGACGACCGATGGTTGTTTCGTTTGGGCGGTTGTTGCGACCGAAATGTTCACTAAGCGCGCGAAACGTGTTTTTTATTTTTGCACCATTTTTGTAGTGCTCTTGAATAACTTTAATGCGGTCTTCAATCGAATACGACTCCATAGCGATCAATGGTAAACATTCAACTATGAAAATGACATGACGGTGACAGAAAACAAAGATGGCGTCTATGTCAAATTGACACATTGAATCTAGCTGAATAGGGGGGATAACTTTTCATAAAAAATGTGCCTCAGCTCTACTGAGCCTAACGTTTAGATCTTTTCAGAAAACAGTAAATTGTATACCAGGACCTTGAAACCCTATATCTTTCATAATGTCCCACAATTTATTAGATATGCCCTGTTCTAAGCTTCGTTTCTCAAATGGGGAAAGAAATATTGATTCCAACTGAAAAACATAATACAAAAAAGCTTCAGGTGGGGCTTCTAAACCCTAAAGATTCTGTTATCGTTTTCGAAAATTTTAAAATGAATCAACAGTTTACTATCCAAACTATCAGCACCTTTAGAGAATTTTACACATATCTCACAGGAATGAATCTGCAAACACCTTAATTTACTATCATCAGCCTCAAAGATTGATGTACGTCTTATCAGAATTGGCTTCATGAACTATAGAGTCTCCTGCCGATTCTACACCAAAAATTCTGCTATCGTCCTCTTCTCCTTCTGAATCTTCATCTTCAGTTTCGAAAGAATCACTATCACTGTCAGTTCGATTCAAATTGATAACGAATTCATCCACAACTCTATCAACCACGGGCTCGCGTTCTATAAATTCTTTTTCAAGCTCCTTTGTATGATCTCATCTCGTTTTCCACTTGTCACTCCCAAATGTATTAAAAAACTCATAGCAGTATTTTAAAACAGCAGAAAGTTTAACAGACGTGCTACGTGAGATTTCGTTACTGCACATACGAGTTCTATGGGGTTCAAGTGGGGGTGATAGGGTGGTAATCCTAATACATCGTGCCCAGCATCATGCGGAATTTTATCTATTGCAAACTTCTTGTAAGCAGGCTTATGAAGTTTTATCAAATTGTGCAGTTCTGGCTTAAGAATGTCGTCTGAAAGAAAGATATTTCTGTGACGAAGCCAGATCATCATTTCTGCCATGCTTGTTCAGGAAGCGGTGCGTTGTTTATAACAACCACGTTGTTGGGAGGTAGGTTTGGAACTACCAACCACTTTTTATAATTCTCAAAATTATGGTAATCGCCTGCACTACACGTAGACTTCCATCTCACATACGCAATAATAATAATAATACTAATAATAATAATAATAACAATAACAATAATAATAGAGCGAGAGAGATAAAAGAGCTGAATGATCTTTTTCTAAGCACCTTAAGCTTCTACCGATTTAGTGACCCCACAAAAAGGCCTAGGCTCCCAAAGCTTCTACTAAATGCAAAATCCAATCAAATAATACATCAGATGACTTAGAAGAAGTACACCTATCTATCTATGCTGCAGCTGCTACTGTGATGAACGTGAATGGTCAAAAGTTACTACCACCTAATGATGCGCCTCTTAAAAAGACATCGAAACGTAGTGAGGAGCCATGGAAACTAAGACTCATGTAAGATATTGACTCATGTAGAGCTGAGGCGGATCTCATTTCAGAATACCTAGTAGGCAATAGGTCCCGAAAGGTGGTCAAGAAAATTGCAGATATTAAACGGAAAATTACCGTACCCCCAGCTGCGATTACGATAGTTCATTTTTAAACCTGCATAGAGATAAACTGAGGCAAGAAGCCTAATTGAAAGGTGCCCGGCTCCAAGGATATAATATCAACTCAGAATCATCTTCGGAACCCAAAGGCATTAGAGATATATAAAATTTTGTTAAATTTTGGAGTGATACTTGGTCCGAGCCAAAGCCATCAGACCTTAATGCGCCTTGGATCAAAGAAGTTGTGAAGGCAGCTAAGGTAAACCCAATGAGCGTTGCAATATTCTCTCAAGATGACGTAAGTAGAGTGCTAAAAAATGCTGCTGATTGGAAAGCGCCGGGACCCGACAATATTCAGAACTTTTGGCTCAAGAAGTTCCTAAGCACACATGCTGCATTGGGTCGATCACTTTCTAAAGCAATCACCAACCCGGAGATATTACCTAACTTCTTGACGAAAGGAATAACACATCTTATATTTAAAAACGGCAATCCTGAGGATCCGAAAAACTGTAGACCAATTACATGTCTCTCTGTGTTTTATAAACTACTAACAGCACTTTTGAATGACCAAATATATACTCACTGTGAAAGCAACAATATCATTGCTACAGAACAGAAGGGGGGTGTCCGTGGTTCTTTCGGATGCAAAGAGCAACTTATAATTGATTCCGTTATTACGAAGCATGCGTGTAAAAATAAGAGAAATCTCCATGTCTGCTACATCGACTACTCCAAGTCGTTTGATTCCGTACCACATAATTGGATTTTGAAGGTGCTGGATATATATAAAGTAGACATCCGCATCATAAACCTATTGTCCCATCTGATGATGAACTGGGGAACCTCTTTAAGAGTTAATTCGGAGGACATAAGAGACGTGCGCATACGCAGAGGCATATTCCAGGGTGATTCTCTCAGCCCGATGTGGTTCTGTCTAGCCCTGAACCCACTGTCATCACTGCTGAATAATTCCAAGTTCGGGTACAGGCTCGATGTGAGTGAGCCTACCAGATTCAACCATCTGGATGACCTCAAACTATACGCCGAGTCAAGGCAACATCTTGCTTCTCTAGTGCGAACGACACGGATATTCAACAATGATATAGGAATGAAATTTGGGTTAGATAAGTGCGCCACTGTCACTATAAGAAAAGGTAACCTAACTCTTTTGGAAGAAAATTTAGAAAACATCGCGCCTCTAGCAGAAGACCAACCGTATAAGTACCTGGAGATACACCAAAGTAGGGGTGTGTGTCATTCTACCATGAAGTCAATCTATAGAGAAAAGTACATCCGTCGGCTTACAAAACTACTCAACACCAAATTAAACTCGCAGAATCTTTTCAAAGCAATCAACAGTTGAGCAATAAGTTCACTTACATATTCGTTCGGTATTGTGAAATGGAGAAATACAGACCTTGAAGAGCTAGACAGAATCACTCGTGTAAAGCTCACAAAGTTCCATTGTCACCACCCAAAGGCATCAACCGAACGGCTGTACCTCCCTCGCGCACAAGGGGGCCGCGGATTGCTCAACATAACACAACTCTGCAAGTCTTAGGTAGCCAAATTACAAAATTACTTTAATAACCATCTAAGTCCTAAGATAGCTGCTGTAGTGGAGGCAGATGACTCATTTACCCCTTTGAGCTTTCGGCAACCTCAAGCAAATACGGCCTCGGAATCGAATACTAGTAGGAGAGAATGCTGGGAGGAGAAAATTCTCCAAGGCCGTTACCATGCCAACTGAGAGATGACAACATAGATAAAGCTTTGTCATTCACCTATTTGAGAAAGGGATATCTCTATCCAACAACGGAAGGGTTCATAACTGCCATCCAGGACAAAGTAATAAAAACAAAAACTATGAAAAACATATTCTCAAATCCAACGTCCCAGATGAATGTAGGAAGTGCAACCAGGCGGGTGAAACCATCGAACATATTACTGGAGCTTGCCTTGCGTTGGCAGCTGGCGATTATTTGGGAAGACACAACCAGGTTGCAAAAATAATCCATTCACAGCTAGCTCGTAAACTTAGCTTGGTACAATCTCCTCCGCCATATTACAAGTACACGCCTGAGCCAGTTCTGGAATCAAAAGATGTAATACTCTATTGGGATCGGCCATTTCTAACCGACAAAACTGTAGACTTTAACCGTCCCGATATTGTCCTGATAGACAAAAGCAACCAATATGCACAGATAATTGAGGTTGGAATTCCGCTTACACACAACATACTCAAGGTAGCGCGTGAAAAATCTGTTAAATACCAGAACCTGGCGATTGAAATGAAAAGGATTTGGAAGCTAAGGGAAGTGCAGATTGTACCCATTGTTATCTCTGTGGAAGGGGCTGTTACCAAACAAGTCTCCTCAAGCTTAAAGACCTTGGACCTTCCAAACGGCATTCACATACTATTCCAAAAAGCCGTTACCTTACAAACGTGTGATATTGTGAGAAAGGCACTGTCTCTGTAAAAACTATCCTTGGTTGGGGTGAACTCCCCCTCAAAGATAGTACACCACCCCATACGTGAGAACTATGAGCATGAAGAAAAAATAATAATAGTAATAATAATCGCAGTAGTAATCGTAATTTATTGTAGTCGTAACTATATTTACTATGTGTAAAGGAACAGCCTCTCCATTTTCAGCTTCATTCTGCATGAATCTCAATACCGAGGCAACAATTTCTCGGCTTTCACCAACTTTATTTGCAACTTAACTCTCAATTTTTCAGAACCTTCGAGTATAAATAAAAACAACCTATAGCTAACGCAATTAAAATTTTTGCTGGAGCTGTACCCACGATGCTGCTCGATCGCTGCTTGTACTGAGGTGTCCCCACTACATTCCGCCGTGTCAACCGCGCATCTGACCTTGGGAGTCCAAGCTAGATTTGTCAATCTGTACTAGAGAAGGTTCCAAAGTAGAAGGCCGATGTGAATGAATTTGTTTATCTTTTAATTTGTATTTTTGATGAACCTAGTTCGGGAACTTTTCAGACGTAGTGTGTATACCAAATATTTATCCTGTATACTAAATGATATAGAAAATGCAACACCGTCTAGGTGTGCTGTGTTTTTAAGCATACTTTTACAAGTTTATTCTCGGAAAATTGACTGGAACTGGCGCGTCTGCGACCTCTAGGCATGATAATGCAAAGAAACAAATGGAACCAACACATAAAAATCACTGAATATTAATGAAACATGTCCGGATCCTGATATGACAAGAAAACCTTTACAAAAAAATACAGCTCGGAATGCTTTCAACATGTTATAAATTTCAGTACATAATTGACGGTGGATTTAATGTCATATTTCATGGTGTTATGCTGCCACTAACTTACCTAGGTATATACAAAACACGTTCAGCTACAACAAATCCCACAGTCACCATCAAATTTGTGGCAGGGAGGAAGGGTATCACTAGAAACAACAGTCCTAACACAACCTGCGGCTGCCTCTGGCTCTGAAAAAGAAAATGTCAGTAAATGCTTTATCCCATAAGAAGAACTTTTTTTTCGTTTGGCAGGCGTCTTAGAAACCCTATAATGCAATTATCAGCATTAACACCCAAGTGGGCTAATCAAAAAGGCTTATCAAAAAGATATCATTGCGCTTGAATTAGGAGAAAGGGTTATTTTATATAAAATAGTAGTTACGGCAGCTGATCGAGAATTATTGGTAATCCACTTACTACTACCATGTCTTCATAACTAACTCTTCCCATTCTACCCTGTGCGAAGACCAACTGCGCTCTACAGAGTCAGTGCCAACTTTTTCATGTCCAATAGAGTTTATTTATGAGTATTTCTGTATTTTATGATGATCAGCCTTTTTCAGTGTGCAGATTGCTCTACTAGGAGCAACACTAACCCATAAGTCACAATACAGAACAAAAACATTGCATTTAAATATCAAGATGTCATATCATGTGATCGGGGATAATCGATTGTTCTCCTGGTCAAAATTTGGTAAATATCAGCTTACTAGTCCCCGAGACATTTGACCGTTTGCAGATATTGGAATAGCATTAGATAACATTTGGCTATACAATCTACAGTCTTCATTTATGACTCTGGTGTCTTCCTGCTACATACGAGGGCTAATCAAATATGAACTGGACTTTTCTATTTGACGCGCCATAGGTGAATAGAGTGGGCCGACGTCTTGGTATATGTTGGGTGGGGACGTCAGGAAGAGAGGAGTCAGTCGGTTTTGCGCGCCGTAGTAGATAAGCTGTTAGTAGCATCGTGTCTGAGCAAGAGGTGCACACATTCGTTGCGCAACGTATTATCATAAAATTTTTGTCGCGGGAGGACGTAAGGACACACGTATACGATGGGCAAAAATGTTTTCCATGTAGTGGCGAAAGCATGTAGAGGCAGCACTGCGAAAAGCCAATACCAGTCTTGCAACCGTATATTGGTATCCCAGAGGTGTACTGCTAGTTGATTTTTTTCCGATTGCGGTACAGTTAATGCCGCTTACTACTGAGAACTGCTGGCTGAAACTGGCCTATCGGCAAAAAAGGCGAGACATGCTTCTCTATGACAGCGCTAGGCCACAAAAAGCTGCATTGACACAAGAACAATTACGCGAAATTTATTGGGAAACACTTGAACACCCGTCTTACAGTCCCGACTTGTCGCCTTGTAACAATCACATGTTTGAGGCACTGAAAGTAGACTAGGAGGTCACTTCATTCTTTAATTGAGGAATTAAAAACCTCCCGATGCGATGAGAAAAATGCGTCAATAAGACAGGAGATTATGCAGAAAAATAAGATGTAAATTAACTTGTTTGTACGATAGCAATAAAATTACTAAATCAAAAGTCCGGTAAATATTTGATCCTCCTTCGTATATTGTTTGCTTTACTTTACAACCCTTTCTGTTGATACCAAGCAACGAATTCGAATGAATTAGAAGGAAACACGCCTATATGTTTGCATTGCATTGTTTGTTGCCAGGGGCACACGTTTGACTCGTTTGACTACCATCCCTACCAAAGTAACAGAGTTGTATCAAAATAATAATAGTATTCACCGGTGGAATCATCTACCTTTATTGAACGTCTGCCGTTCTTTGCAGAATATGTGAGTCGTACCATACCACCAAGTAAATAACCACAATTATCTGCACACACACGCATTTTCCAGAGATAGCACTAAAAATATGAATCGAACTGTCAAGACATTGACTTATGCCAACCCTACTGAGCGAGGGCCGTGGCAAATGCTTCCGGAAATCGTTGTATCCAGTATACAACTTCTTCCCGTCCAAGTGATTGCGCACGCGTTAAGGAATACCTCAGCTACCGATTGCCGGGTGGCGGTACAAGTCCGCCAACGGGGCACTTTAGGTCTATTTAACATCACTAATACGTAAAAAGAAGGTGGTAGACAAGGACCAGTCGACCGAGGCAGTACCACCCGCTAGCTTTTCCAAGGGTGTCTTATAATTGTCCGCATGTTTCCACACCTAAGCTATGCAGTCGGTTATCTACCAAAACAAAGAAATTAATGATGATGAATCCCTCGAGCACTAAAAACTCCGGACGTAAACTCACTCCACTCTCGGAATGTCCGGGTGGAGGGTGGGCTCGAGGGAACAACATCGAAGATAAAATTTGTTTTTCGAACATCTGTGGGATCAACAGCATCATCAACTGCACCGATTAACCATCTCAACTTCCCAAACTACGAGGTGCACCCCAATCTGAGAAAGAACGGGGGAGTTGTGGCTTTTGTCCGCAGCAGTCTTTCCTGCTCCAGGGATCTTTCTTTGGAATCAGACCGGAAGGACATTCTGTGGCTTCGCCTCAACTCCAAAACATCACCCAAATTTATTTGCTGCCTTTATCGCTCTCCCTCGAACCATAACTGGGATGACCTACTCGAATACCTCGTCGTCCAGATCGACTTCCTGAACATCAATCACCCCGCTTGAGAGGTAGTTCTTCTCGGTGATTTCAATGCCCATAATGAGCTTTGGTTGGGCTTAAATAAGACCGATGCAGCAGGTCGTGCAGTCGAAGCGTTCGCTCTTACTCAAGGGCTGACCCAGCTGGTGACGAGCCCTACTTTTTTCCCCCGCGTCTCGTCACACGCCAGTAGCCTGCTGGATCTCCTTCTGACCACGCATCCTGCCCCTTACAGCACTGCCGTCCTGTCCCCCTTAGGTAACTCAGATCACGGTGTTGTGGAGGTTAGGTTTCGGTCAGAAACTCGCACAGGCCGCAAAACTTGGCATTACGGACATGCCGACTGGGAGGGGCTCAGAGACTTCTTCTCTAGCTTTCCTTGGAGAGATGTCTGTTTCACTGACGCGGATGCGTCGACTGTCTGTTCTTCAATAACCGAAATTATCCACGTCGGAATGGAGGAATACATCCCTCACACAGTGAAAGTTCCTAAACCAGGGTCCAACGGCTGGTTCAACAAATCGTGTGACACTGCTCGCCAGCAGAAGATCAAGGCCCACAGAACCTACTTACAAAACCCCACTGTAGAGAACAGACAAGCCGACGTCGAGTCCAGAAACAAATATAACGAAGCGGTTCGCATTGCCAAAACCCAGCATGATATAAAAGTTAGGCACAGGGTAATGTCGCAGCGCAATGGCAGTCGGTCTTTCTGGACGCTGGCCAAGCAGGTTGAAAAGAACTTCTCACACAGTAGCCTTCCACCACTTACGTGTCAGGATGGAACTATTGTATTCGACTCAAAGGCCAAGGCGGAAGTGCTAGCCAAGATCTTTGCTGCCAACTCCACCATGGACGTCCCCACCAACGCCCAAGTGCCGTCAATTCAAAGGGTTCCCCACACTATGCGGGAGGTAAGATTCAGGCATAAGACCGTAAGACGAGTGCTCTTGTCGCTTGACATCAACAAAGCTTCTGGTCCGGACTTGATTCCTGCCATTGTACTGAAGAGATGTGCAGCTGAGCTTGCTCCAGTTCTTTCGCGTCTCTTCCAGATATCTTATGAATCCGGCACCTTCCCAGAAAACTGGAAATTTGCTCATGTACAGCCCATCCCAAAAAAAGGATCTAAGTCCGACCCTTACAACTACAGGCCTATAGCTCTGCTTTCTGTTATAAGTAAAGTGATGGAGAACTACATAAATCGCGAGCTTCTGGACTACTTCGAACGTCACAGCTTGATTAGCGACAGGCAGTACGGTTTCCGGCACCAACAATCCACAGGGGACCTCCTAGCTTACGTCACGCAACTGTGGAGTAAACTCATCCAGTCTCATGGTGAGGCTCATGTCTTGACATCACGAAAGCGTTCGATCAGCTGTGGCACGCTGCCCTCTTGAGCAAACTTCCATCCTACGGCCTCCCAGAAAAGCTTTGCAGATGGGTGGCTGACTTTATCTCTGGCCGCAAGATATCCGTCGTAATTGACGGATTCTCCTCTTCATCCCACAACGTCAACGCGGGTGTTCCCCAGGGATCGGTCTTGGCTCCAACACTTTTTCTCTTACATATCAACGACCTCCTTTCCTGCACGATCAACTCAATCCACAGCTTCGCTGATGACAGCACTCTACATGCAAGAATTCAGAGTGACAAGCCGATCTCTGCCGCTGAGCTGGAAAAAAGAAGACTAGCGACGACTTCTTCTCTGACAAGAGATCTGGAGGCTATCACTGCTTGGGGACGCAACAATCTTGTACAGTTCAATGCTTCCAAAACACAGTACTGTACTTTGACGAACAAAAAGCGTCCTAGCGCTCATACAGTTTCGATGGACGGTCGAGTTCTACCAAAGAGCCATTCATTTCGGCTGGTCGGAGTCCAGATCACTGAGGACCTGATTTGGCACGAACACATCTCTTCAATAGCTGCAGCTGCTGGGAAAAAGCTAGGCTATTTGTTTAGGGCTAAGAAGTACTTTTCTCCGCATGACCTTCTCACTCTATACAAGGCCCAGATAAGGCCTAGCCTCGAGTATTGCTCACACATTTGGGGTGCTGCCGCCCCGACTACATTGTCCATGCTCGATGCTGTCCAGAGGAGGGCGGTCCGACTGATCGATGACTCTTCTCTAACAGACAGTCTCGGGACTCTTTCGCACCGGCGGGCGGTAGGCGATCTAGCTCTTTTCTATCGCTACACCAACGGGCTTTGCTCCTCAGAGCTCTCTTCCATGATGCCGCCGCGCGATGTGCCTGCCAGACAGACCCGCCTGATTTCGACGTCCCTTCCTAACCGTGTCAAGCTTCGTACATCCAGAACTGGCCGATACGACCGCTCCTTTGTCCCGAGGGTGTCTAGATTGTGGAACAAACTACGGGAGGAAGCTTTTCCCAGTTCTACTAACCTTAGGCAGTTCAAAAATCGTATTAACAAGATTTCTTTGGGATCATCATAGCAGCCGCGGTGTTCCGGCATTTAGGCTTCTGCCTGCGCGGCTGTTTCGATATAAAAAAAAAAAATGTCAACTGCACTTTATGATCCTCACTGATACTCAGAAGGAGTCAAACAAATCCTTGAATGGATCCATCTAGACTAAATTCGTTGATCGATACCAAATGAAATGCTTCAGAATCTTGTGGTTCTCTTCTAATAGGAAGTACAAAGACTACATAAAAAATACCATAAAAGCCCGGCTTACATTACAGGAAATGAAAGTGTTGCATTTTCAGGAAATCATTCTACGTAGTAGCAACATTCAACAGTCATCTGTAGAGAGTAGATACTAATAAAATGGTTTAAATCTGACAACGATTACACCTACTCTTAGTTTTTCTTATCTTTAGTTGTGATTAGACCTTTTGGGCATGTGCATTTCCAGCGGAGCAAATTTGGTAAACTAAAAAGCCTAAAACACTTTTCTGAATCTTTCCAAAAATAAAACAGTTATTCGTTTTGTATCTGTTTGTCAAAGTTGGAAAGAGTATGCGCTCTTTCCTCAAACCTCCTCTTCTTTCAAGATTTTTACACACGCAAGGTAACAGTTCCTGAAATAGATACTCACCTCAAAGTCAGCAAGCGCTCTTGCGGCCAAGAGGAATGCAAAGCCGAAGAAGAAACAGGTAACTAAGTTCCTACTATCACTTATCGAGGTTATCAGGGGTATTGATCCCATTTGCCAGTCGTGGGACAACATGGCCGGGCATACCAACAGCCACCAATTGAAGGCTGAGAGGTAGCAGAAGGTCAGAACCCTGGAACAAAGTTCGAGTTAATAAAGCAACTTTTCATAGGCTATGCGTATGTTGAACACCAGTTACAATGAGTTTCGGTACGCGCGGTAAAGGGGAAAAGGTCTGAAACCTTTGACTAAGAAAATTGCCAGCGACTGTGGCCTTTTTAATAAGCATTTATTTCCAATAATCAGTTTCCTGTCATCGCAACAGGCATCTACACTGGATCAGATTAGTTTAGTACGGAGCTAGCCAGAGACTACCCTGAGGTCATTAGAAACTAATACAACTGTAGAAAGGTGTTCTAAATGTTTCCACTTTGTTCCATTTATCTCACGAACCAGAGTCAAACCAAAAAGGCGAACGCTTACTTTGTATGTCAAATATGACTATTTATGAAAATCATCAAGAAATTTTCAGTCCAGTATTTCACAAGAGAATTGAATGCGACTGTGACCATTTCAAGTTACCAAGCTTTTATCAATTTCTAACTACGTACGCAGAAGGATACTTTGGAAATCGAATTGATTTTCCACTACTTATTGCACACTAAATTGTATCTCCATTTGATCGACTTTGTCAAAAACAACATGAACTAGAGTTTTTAGCAATAATAAGTAATGTCTCTGGACAAGAAAAGATCACTGGACAACAAATTTTAGTTTTTTAATTGTATCATGTGGGAAAAGTGCACTTCATTGTTAATTTTGGGGCGCTGAATCCAAAAATGACAATGAAATAAAAAAATTTGTTGCGGTTTAGAAAAAAAACTTTTTATTTTCAAGGATGTATTAAAAAAAGTAACAAGATTCATATACTTATAAGAATCACTATATGCGCTGTCTTTTTGCTGTTCTTTTATGGATCGTTTCTGGAGCATCTCTACCAAGAGTTCAACAGTAGTCTGCAAGCATGGAAGGATTCCACTTTCCCTGGTACCTTTTTTCCATTGTTGAAATATCCTGATGAAAACGTTCGCCGTGCTCATCACTTACGGCTCCGCAATTGTCAGGAAAAAAGTCCAGGTGTGAGTGTAGGAAATGTATCTTAAGAGACATATTACAGCCCATCTTTTGATACGATGACAGCATATTTTTGACAGGGGTTTTATAGTTGTCAGCTTTTCTATTTCCTAAGAAATTAGTGACCACCAGACGGAAATCATTCCAAGCAGTTTTTTCAATACCTGTTAAAGTGTTTTCAAACTGTGTATCTTTCAAAATATTTCGAATCTGTGGCCCAACAAAAATACCTTCTTTAACCTTTGCCTCACTTAGTCTTGGAAATTTCTGACGCAGATATTGAAAAGCTGACCCATCTCTATCTAATGCCTTGACAAAGTTTTTCATTAGGCCCAACTTTATATGAAGTGGTGGTAATAACATTTTTTTCGAATCTACTAATGGCATATGCCGTACATTTTTTTGACCTGACTCTAGGAATTGTCTGGTGTAATGAAGTGCCTTTGCCCGACTGTCCCATTCACACAAAAAACAGCAAAAGCTTGTGTAGCCTAGCTGCAGCCCAAGTAAAAGTGCAACAACTTTCAAATCGCCACAAATATGCCATTGGTGCTCATCGTATTTTATGCATGTCAATAGGTAATTCATATTGTCATATGATTCTTTCATGTGAACTGCATACCCTACAGGAAGAGATGGTAAAATATTTCCAATATGCAATAACACTGCCTTTAAACTCAATGTTGAACTGCCTATAAACACTCTCCATTCTTCCGAGTTATAGTTTATATTTAAAGCCGCCAGTAAGCCGTTAATGTTACTGCAGAAAACCAAGTTATTCTCCATATTGAAAAATGGTTCTAAGTCTTTATGGCGTTTACAATAAACACATACCGAAACATCGTCTTCTAACAAGTTGATATCTTGACGTTGATGGCATATCTTCTTCCTGACGAATCACTCGATCGCCATGATCTGATTCGTTTTATGATTCGCAAGTGTAGGATTCTGGGGGTTTTGGAATAGGATTTTCGTCACTGTAAGGCACAGGTCTCATAGCAGATGGTATGTTTGGGTAGTTAATAACCGATTTTTTTTTCTTGGACATACCTGTGGCTTGTCCAACACAAGGTACCAAGCAAAAGTAACAATCATTAATATGATTTGTAGGCTCTCTCCAAACCATTGGGACAGCAAAGCGCATAGACCGTTTTTTGCCATTTAACCAGCTCCTCAGACTTGAAGCACATGCATTACAGCAGATGTGGGGTGCCCACTGTTTGTCTTGATCACCTAGTTTACAACCGAAATAAAGCTGATATGCCTTTGTTATTAGTGGAGTAATAGACCGTCTCTGAGACCGAAAAGTCACATCACCACACACGTAATAAAATGATCTGGATTGTTTACAAACTTTAGAGACATCTTGCATGAACGCTGTTAGCTGACTGAGGAAAAAATGGCTAATATAAAACAATATACTGTACACGTATGTATAACGTAACACAACCATGCCGATTACATCATCTTTCCTTGCCGAATATAAAAATGTAGCACGTGCATTCTTGTGAATTACAGTATATTAACATTGTCACAGCAGGAACAAATATAATTACCGTATCTCTAAAACTTGAACTAATATTGAAAAAATAAGTTTCATTTCGGTTTTAGCACATTAAAAATAGTAATATTTTGTTGATTTTATTTAGGATATTTTTTGGCTGTTGATCAGTGACACCAATAGTATCGCACTTGCGGCCCCAAAGTCGTATTAAGGAAAGAACGCAGAGGCTCTGCTTTGGGACGACCTCATAGAAAATTTGTGTTTGAGTTATTCTGTTAGTCCCAGCAGATAAAATAATTTTTTGGAATCTCGTGGTGTTGTTTTAATAGCAACATTGCCAGGTGTCCTATTCCAAATTTCTATTAATCGTTCAAGTCTCACCCTAGCGTCATCTATGGAGAAATGAGTCAAACGACATGCTAGTGTGCTTTGTTGATTGCAGAATGCTGTGGACTATATATCTCTGAGATGGGACTGAAGTAAAATAAGTTGAATAGCAAGATCTAAACTGGATGATTGTGTGGTGATTATGTATATTGGTCTGCATGTGTATAAAATAAGTAATATTTTCTAAGAAAACTATTACTGAATATGCTGCTTGAGAAGTATATTAGCTCTACTAGACGGGTTATTTGTGTTGTCCGTTATAAAGAAATTTTTTTTGCTAAGGGAAAGGGGTGGCTTCCAGCAATATCAGCTGCAAAACAAAGCTGTAGGAGTGTGTGGTGGTTATCCGAGATGCCTTTCCAAGCTGAAGATTATAAACCCATAAGAAAATGGACGTGGTAGCACCAAAACAAAAACAACCAAACGCAAGGTACAATATGAAGGGGTACTACTCGACAAACTGGTGTTCGACTCCTAATATCCCAGAATCTAAATTTACATTCATACATTTGTAAAAATTTATGAACAGTTCTAAATGAAGACCAACTTATCAGTCGATACTATGCACAGGTTAAATCCAGACTGAAGTATGGCCTTTGCTTCTAAGGTACATCAAGTGCAACGCCCAATATGTATGCCAAAAATAGTGATCAGAAGCATTGCTAAAGTAAATAGTACGCATAGTTGTAGGGAACTGTTTACTTTGCCTGGTTTATATTTATATGAATTGGCTGTGTTAACATACGTGAATTTAGTAAACTATTTAAGAAATAAATATGTTCATGGACTAAATAATAATAATAATAATAGCTTTATTGTCCAATAGTTTCCCATTTGTAGTACAATTTATAAACATAATACAAAAGCAAAATAAGCGAAAAAAAGCGAAAAGAAAACAACAAATGCAACACAGGTATAAATTTGTAACATGAGCTATCCGAATAAGCCTTAGCTGCCTTTAGCAGGTAATTAACATTTGTCGTAAATATATCACAGTAACATCCACTTCTGTTTAAGTTAGAGCACATTACATATAAGGGTGACTTGAGAAGAATGTTTGTCCTAGCTCTAGGAAGCCCGAATATTTTATGATTGCGAGATGCAAACGTTGGAGTACGAAACTTGATCTGTTCCAGGATCATGGGGCAATCAATTAAATTGTTGATCATTTTGTAGCCAAATATTATTGAGGCACAGTACCTACGTTTTTTCAAAGTCAACATGTCTAAGCGACTACATAGTTGCTCATTACTTGTACCTCTCTCTGGATATGTCCCATCAATCCTAAACAGAACAAACTTCATAAACTTCCGTTGTACTCTTTCAATAGCTAAGCTACAGCATTCATAGTAAGGGCTCCAAATAATACTACAATATTCGACTTTGGATCTAACATAAGCATAATATAATAGCTTAATAGACTTTATGCAATTCCTTACTATGAAACCATAAGCCGCCAATGCTTCTGATGCTTTTTTATTTATATGCTGATTAAAAGTTAACTTTTGATCATAGATTATACCTAAATCACGTACATCAGAGCATCTTTCTAGCACAGACCCATCAATAGAGTACGGATATTCGCGAACATTAATTTTTCTGGTATAGCTGACTATTTTACACTTCCTCACATTAAGCTCCAACTTGTTTTCTACACACCAAGACAGCACAAAATTTAATTGGTGTTGTAGCTTGATACAATCATCAGGAGTATTTGTCTGCGAATAAATTTTTAGGTCGTCAGCAAAGCATAGGCGTTCACATTCAACCGAGTCACAGAGGTCATTAATAAATATCAAAAACAGCAATGGTCCCAGGTTGAACCCCTGAGGAACTCCATAAGGTGCCAAGTAGGTCTCAGATTGGAAGCCATTATAGCTAACAAATTATCTACGATCGGATAAGTAAGATTTCATCAACTCCCTAGCATCATCTGTGAAACCAAGTGCACCTAACTTATTTAATAAAGTTTTGTGGTTAATTTTATCGAAATTCTTCGAAAAGTTGGTATAAATAACGTCAACTTGCTCATTACTATCAATGGCTTCCGAGAGGTACTGCGTTATTATAAATAGACTTGTGGTTGATGAGCGATTAGCGACAAATCCAT